AAACCCCAAAACCCCAAAACCCCAAAACCCCAAAACCCCAAAACCCCTTTCTCAGGAGTAATACTGAAGAAGCTACTTAACTCCCGCAAAAACATATTTATAAAAAATTATTGCACATTTTTGAAATGGCTGATAACTTCGATAGGAAGAGAAAGTTCCACGAGATGAGTGCAGGAGGCATCTACGAGGATAGCGAAATGCAGGACGAACCAAGGCACCACAATCAGGATATGGATTATAGAAGGCCCCATACAGAACACTTGGATATGGATGACGGCGGTCATTTCTCTGAGGATGAGCATCCTCAAGAAGAAAGTGACATTATTGCTGGAGACAACCAGGACAACCAGAGTGATAATGTATCTGGAGATGATCTCATGGAAAACGCAGAGAATGACTACAAAGCTATTCCTGAATTAGATAGATACGAACGAAGAGGAATTGACGATAATGAGGAAATGAACCAGCTCCAACTCAATGCTGATGGAAAAGCTAGAGTAGATATCCTTCTCAATGAGAGAGACAGAAGAGAAGGTATCCAAAACCGCAGAATTCCTGTTGCAATGATGGAAGAGGAAGACTCTGAAAATGAAGAACTTGCTAGAGAATTAAGAAAGGAAAGACTCAGAAGAGATCATAAAGAAGAAGAGGAAGATGACATTGATGAACAATATTTAGATTATGAAGAGACTAAAGGAAGTATCCATGAATGGTTGAAGCAGCCAAAGACTGTCAAATTTGTGAGAAATCAATTCAGCCATTTCCTTAGAAGCTTCAAAGATGAAAATGGAGTTGATGTATATGAGCAAAGAATTGTAGAAATGTGCTCAAATAATAGACAGAGTCTCGAGATTACTTATAGCCATCTCTCTACAAAGAACCCAACTTTAGCTATCTGGGTTGCTGAATGTCCAAATTTGACTCTTCCAATTTTAAATGGGGTCGCTTATGAGCTTGTAAATGAAGTATTCCCATCATATGAGCATATTTTCAAAGAGACTTACGTTAGAATAAAGGATCTCCCAATTGAGGATAATCTTAGAGATCTCAGACAAGTACATAGGAATGCTCTTATTAAAATTAAAGGAGTAATCACTAAGAGGACTGGAATTTTTCCACAAATGAAGAGAGCCTACTTCTATTGTGGTAAATGTGGAGAAAGAAAAGGACCAATAATTCTCTCTACTAATGAAGAGTCTACAATTGGGAATTGCTTCAGATGCCATTCTAGTGGTCCATTCAGTTTAGACTCTGTTGATAATGAATACAGTAATTTCCAAAAGATCACAGTCCAAGAGACTCCAGGAACTGTTCCTCCAGGAAGAGTGCCAAGACAGAAAGAAGTGATTCTTACTGGAGACTTGGTTGATTGTGCTAGGCCAGGAGATGAAATTGAAGTTACTGGAATATATACCATGCATTTTGATCACAACATGAATATCCAGCATGGTTTCCCAATCTTCAATACTTTTATTGAAGCTAATTATGTTAAGAGTCTTCAGGACATTGATAACAACATCCTTACTGAAGACGAAGTGAGCGAGATTAGAAATCTTTCGAAGAAAGATAACATTGCCAAAAGAATTATTGCTAGTGTTGCTCCTTCAATTCATGGTCACAATTTCATTAAAACTGCATTGATGCTCGCAATGTTTGGAGGAGAACCCAAAGATGTAGGTGGAAAACATAAAATCAGAGGAGACATCAACATCTTGTTGCTTGGTGATCCTGGTACCGCCAAATCTCAATTTTTGAAATATGTAGAGAAAACATTCCATAGAGTTGTCTACACAACAGGTAAAGGAGCTAGTGCTGTCGGTCTTACAGCTGGAGTTATCAGAGATCCAGTTACTAGAGAATGGATGCTTGAAGGAGGAGCCCTCGTACTAGCAGACAAAGGAGTCTGCTTAATCGATGAGTTTGATAAGATGAACGAAGTAGATAGAACCTCAATTCATGAGGCAATGGAACAACAATCTATTTCAATTTCGAAGGCTGGAATTGTGACAAGTCTAAAAGCTAGATGCTCTGTTATTGCAGCTGCTAATCCTATCTTCGGAAGATATGATCCTCAAAGGAACTTCATGGATAACGTTGATTTGACTGATCCAATCATTTCAAGATTCGATGTTCTCTCAGTAGTAAGAGATGAGGTTGATTTCTACAAGGATAAATCATTGGCCACTTTTGTGATCAACTCCCATATCAGAAGTCACCCAGAAGAGATCTCTGAAGAAAGATTGAATTATACTCTTCTTGAAGAGGATATCACTGATGTGAGCAAAGAAGATTTCCTCTCTCAAGAACTCTTGAAGAAATATATCATTTATGCGAGGAAGTTTATCCATCCTAAACTGACTGATGTGGATAAAGAAAAGATCTCAGACTTCTACTCTGCAATCAGAAAATACTCATCTTCTGTTGGAGGAATCCCTATTGGTATTAGGCATATCGAAAGTATGCTGAGAATGTCTGAGGCACATGCTAAAATGCACTTAAGAGAGAATGTAAATGCTGCTGACATTGACTTAGCAATTAAAATGCTTCTAGAGAGCTTCTTACAAAGTCAAAAGACATCTATCGCAAGTGCTTTGAGACCAAAACTAATGAAATTCTTGTCCAAGTCAGAAGACGATTTTGAGCTTCTGTTCCATACTCTGAAGGTTATTGCAAAAGACAAAGCCAGATACTTGAGAATGAATCAAGACGATCTAGGAGATGTCATCGAAGTAGAAATCCCAAAGGAAGAATTTGAGCAACAGACTAAGGATGTAAATAACTTCACTATGGAAAAATTCTACAATTCGACTAGATTCAAACAACAATATATCAGAGAAGGTGATTGCATCAGGACAAAAATTATATAAGAGATTAACAATTCAATAATTCAATATTTTCTAACTTTGTCGGGGTTTTGGGGTTTTGGGGTTTTGGGGTTTTGGGG